GTTCAGGAGCACAGAATGACTAAAGCCAATATGGCGACTCCGAGGGGAGAACAAAGAACTGTAGAGAACATCTAAGGATGATCTAAGATCTCATCAGTGAAATTTAATGTCTGAACCAACACAACAAGAAACAAGACAAAAGAAAGAAATAGATTCTGCAACTAAACTGCGATCCTGTGGGAAGGAGGGATAGCTGAGTTATTGACTGGAGTGGAAAAAGAAGTAGGAAAGATTTCAAGGAGAGTAAGGAGGAGGAAGGGCATTCACTTCCTAGGTTCACCTGCCAAAGGATTCAGGATTCCAAACTTGCATCTCTCTGTGTGTTTTAAACCAAAAACTTAAGAAATACAGATTTGACAAAGTTACAGCTATCAGTTATATTCCTTATGCTACCTGAACAACATGTATTTTTGGTTTCCTTCATGGCATTTCTTTGAGATTATGCATTTCAGAAGGTAAACCACATCTGGGATCTGCACTCTGGAGACAGCAGATTTTCAGTGATGCCTACAGGAATGATCTGATCATAAATTTTGAGGTATGTAAGGGAGATTGAAGCACTGCTATCTAAGCAGAACTCTGGGGACTTCTGTCAAGTTCCACAGTTTGATGTATCTGTTTCTCATCAGTGGCTTGGTCTGTCACAGTTCAGAGATGTTGAAATACCTCTGTCCTGCCCTCTCCTCTGAGTGTATATACTTTGCCTCTTGGACAATCCCATAATGAGCTCCAGAAAATATGCTACATAAGGTATTTTCACTGTTTCTGTGGCAGATGACACAGAGGAACTGACTGCCACAGACAATTAAGCAGTCATTACTGCCCCATAGGAAAGTAATTGTCTTTATCCTTTTTACAACCTTCTAAGAATCTGTGACTGATTGCTTCATGACCAGTGTTTTTCCAGGTCCTTTCTAGCGAGTGTGTAATCTAATAAAAGCAGTCTCTATCATGAGAAATTTCTTGATTGAACTCAGTTCCCGTGACTCTCTGCTACAGCCCCAGACCGGTTCTCTACAACGCTTTGACTGAAGGCTTTAAGACTTAGCTCAAACTTTGGAGTCCTCAAACTTTAATTAAGAGGCAATACTTCCCAGATTAACCCAGGAAGAAGGGAGACTAAACTCAGATTACACCACAGGCTGCCATAGTGGTTGACTGGTGTGCTCAATGGTTTGGTTGTCAGGCTTACAGCGTGTGCATGCTGGTACTGCAACGTTATCAGTTCTTCTAAAAAGATGGGGCAAGTCCCAGACCAAGTGTCGCTGACTGAGCCATGTCTAGAGCACCTGGGGCTTTCCTCACTACTGCAGATTTCTCCCAGGGAGAGCAGTTTAGAGTACTCCAATGGGGACAAGGAAGTGTATGTAGTTCAGATCTGAGTGATGCAGATTATCAGAGCTTCCATGCTCAAGCTCATTGCCTAGCGTTTGACAAGTGTAGGTGTATTCCCAGTGTATTAGTATATTAGGTTATATATTAATGGAACTATAATTGAGTTACTGTCTTGAGTGGCTGAAAGATGAAAAACTGTTTTCAAATGCATGTTGTGATTCAAAAAGTAACTGTGTGATTCTGAACTCATTTGGATTGGTTTTACTCATTTCCACAGGATTAGTCATAGCTTAAAGTTATGCCTCTCCTTATGTAACTTCCTGAGTAGGACAGAGAGGTCCAACTGCAGAAGCCTGCGGAAGAGCTGGAACTCAACTCACGTGATTTGCAGGTCTGTCTCTGCCAAAAAGACCTTTCTATTGAAAGAAACTATACAAATACTCTGTTGTTCCTGGATTCATTAAACATTTCTCAAACAGCTGATATAACTAAGTAGTTGCAGTCAAGTTCTCTAACTCAGTAACTGCTGTTGTATCTTGTTCGTAATTTCTGTCTTTTCCCATATTATAGTCCTTCTACAGGAACAGATGGCAGACCCATCAGAGTAAGACACTGCTGCAGTGCCTGTACAAAAGGGTACCCTTGAATCACACACCAGCCTTTGCATTTGATATGTATAACTTTCCATACATATATTTATATATATATATATATGAGAGGATTGTTTTGTATTTGCAGCTCCCCTTTTTAATCTGAGAATTGGGACAGCAACAGTGCTACATTTGTATTATTTATGAATGTAAGAGATATGTAATACTATAAGGAAAGGAGGATTGGTGGTGTTCTAAACCTCTGTGTTCCTCACCAGAAAGTTCATTATTTTCATCCTTTCTGAGCTGGAAATTCTCAATGTGGTAGTTAGAACAACAAACAAACACAACCTGAGTTTGTATGTGGAGCAGAATTCCAGAAAAATTTTTATTTCCTACTTCATCCTCCCAGCCCTGAATATAAGATTTAAAACACTTCAGTGCTATTTTTCTTAGCAATCTTAGAACATTAGCTTTCATGGCAGAGTTCTGTATATCTTGGGGGTTGTTACCATGAAATTTTTCTTATATTTGTGAGAAGCCAAAATATTTATTACATCTCAGCAAAAAGTTGGTTTTTTTTTTTCTTACAGACTTGCTGTGTGGGGAAATGTTTGAACATGGGTATATCTCAAACCATTTTGGAAGTGAAAAGTCTTATGTTTAGCCCTGTTGTGGGCATGATCTTTGTGACCTAAATACTTATGGAAACCAGCACAAAACACAAAAATGGGAGAAAGGGCAGGAAACAGTGCTGAAACTTAGAAGGAAAACCAAGCAAATGCAGATATACATGTTAAGTAGAAGGTGTCATATCTTTTATATTGTTATAGTTCTATAAATGGAAGGATAACTTGACATTTCTCTTTTTTTCCTGGTAATGAGCATGCACATAAAATCAGAAAGAGACTTATAGTATGAAAGTTTCTACTTCATTTGCATCAGAATTATTATTCTTGAGGCCAATAACTTATTTAGTGAGTTGGAATGTCGACAACAAGCAGTTGTTCTGTAAGGCAAATAACAAGCTGTGGTTGCTCACACTTGTGCTTCATTTTCCCTCTCTCAACCACCTGCAACATCAGGTGTGTGTAGCAAATACATAAAGCAAGTTGAATACTCCAAGCAAGTCTGGCTAACACATTTCTATTGAGATAGTTTTAAAGGAAAGTGTGAGGTCTACAACCAAATTACTGTGATATAGATGTGCTTGCCTGAACTTGCAGTGGGAGTGAGTGTTTATCACTGTGAAAAGGTTTCCATTCACCTTCACAATCATTTCTCTTGCATACTTAAGGTACTTTATTGTAACCACTTGATCTGTCAGGAAAATAATGCCGTAGATCTAAAAGCAGCAGAGTTTTGAAGACAGGTCCAAGTTTGGGTCCCATGCTGTTTGCCTTATGGGATTAAAAATAGTTTATGGCTGACCTGGACACTGGACCATTTGTGTCCAGTGAGATCAGTGCATACTGAATGGTCGAGTTGGTAGGAGGGGTCTGTGTGGAAAGTATTTGATGGGAAAAGTGTTCATATAGACTTGGCTGGAATTCACTGTACCCAGCATGTAAGGAATCATTACCTAGGGTCACTCAGAGTCATGTTTAAGGCAAAGAGGAAGCAGGCCTTATATGTTATACACCAAGACTTTCTCGTTTCTTGTTACTATAGTTGAAATGTGAAAATTCTAATAATTATGAATACAGATCTAACTGCTACAGAAAAAGAAAGAATAACAGTGCAGTGAAATTTTAGACACACTGCTGGGTTTCTACTCCTATTACTGCTTGTCTTTCTGTGGCTTCCCTGGGTCTGAAGGCAAGCAGTTTCATTCTGGGATATATAGGAAGTGTAATAGCAAGTTGTCAGAGTGTAGAGTGCTTCACTGGGACAAATCTGACATTCCTGCAGATGATTTCTTCTTCCTTGCTCCAGAATTCATATTTGCTAACAAGGTTTTACACTCTTGATATTTCTTCATTGGTCTGCAGCTCTGTTGGAGCCAAATTTTCTGTCCATAATGTCCACACTGACATTTATGCATGTTAGATAAGCATAAATGAATCTGCTTTACCCCTAAAACCAGCTTTATGTGGCTCCATGTCTGCATATCTTTGACCAAATATGGCTGAGGCATTGGCCAATGCCAAGGCTGTGCCCAGGGTCACATGCCTATACTCCCTGTTGCTAACCATGTCCCCACTTCTGGTCACATAGGTAGTTAGGAAAGGCTGTCTGAAGGTGCCACGTGCTCTCTTGGGTAAGAGTTTGTGAGATTGTTTCAGAGATGAATTAGGCCACTTTTTAGGGTAGACCAGATTCCTGTCAAGTGTGTTGGGTAACATTTCACAGAATCACCGAATCAATTCAGGCCGGAAAAGGCCTCTGAGATCATCGAGTCCAACCTATGACCGAACACCACCACGTCAACAAGACCATGGCGCTAAGTGCCACATCCAGTCTTTCCCCAAACACCTCCAGAGACAGCGACTCCACCACCTCCCTGGGCAGCCCATTCCAATGGGTGGTTAAGGAGAGTTAATGACTAAGAGGAGCTGTGCTCCCTGGGATTATTTAATTATTTATTATTATTAACTGGGCTAGATATTTAATCCCTAGCCCTAGGAGCGCCTAGTGTCCCGTGGAGCTGAGGGCCGGCGGGCGGGAGAGCTGAGGGCCGGCAGCGCGGGGCCGCAGGGCGCCGCCTGTGCCGCTCCGCCCGCCAGAGAGGCGCCGGGGCCCCTCGCTCCGCTCCCGCTCCTCCGGCGCTGGCGGCCGTCCTGCCAGGGAGAGGAGGGGAGCGAGGAAGGGGAAAGGGAGGAGAAGAAAGTAGGAGGCGCGGCTGGCGGCGGCGGCACGCCACCAGCCAGAGGGCCGCTCGCCGGCGCATCCTGCGCCAGGGGCGGCAGGCGGGCGCTCCGATGCCCCGCGGGCTCATCGGGCCCCCGCCAGAGATGTATCGGGCAGCCGGGCTGCTTGCAGCCTCTGGCTCCTCTTCGCTTGCCTGCGCCCACCTCTTCTTCCTTCTCCCGCCGCTCCGCACCGGGGTGAGTGGCGGGGCCGGGCCGGGACGCCATGGCGAGTGAAGGGAGGAGACCCGGGACGCTCGGGCCCTCCGCGGATGGTGATGAGCGGGAGGAGAAGCACGGAGCGCTTGGAGAGAGCCTGGAAGGGCGCCGAAGCCGCTGCCTCCCCGCTCCGTCCCGCCCCGCGGGGGGAAGCGGGCGGGAGAGCGAAGGTGTCCCTTCCCCCGAAGTTTGTTAGGAAGCCTGGCTGGAGTGCGGCCGGGCAGCGCGGGGTTCCTGCGCGGCCCCGGCTCCAGGGGAACCGCCGGGAGCGCCTCCCGCCCTCGGGGCGGTGTGCGGGGCATGGGGCGGTGCGGGCAGGGGCAGCCTGCACCGGGGAACCCGCCCTCAGGTCGGGAACATCTTCGTGGAGCAGCCGGGTGAACACAGCGCGGAGTTGTGCTCGTGTTGGAGCAGCGCCGCGCTGACAGGGGGGCTTTGCTGGGGGCAGATGGGAAGGTAAAACTGCCCGGTTAAAATGCCATCCGAGACGTTTGTAATGTGTCTAGTGAGGTGGGAGAAGATTAAAGGAGAAGGAATACTAGTATGGGTTGCGGTTGGGTTGCTGCAGGCTCCTGGAGTTGGGAGCTGCTGCTATGAGTGTAAGAGAGGGAAATAAATGTTTATATCTGTTTTGTTTCTCATTCTTTCGGTTCGTGAATGTTTCCATCTCTGTCAGCGTAGACTTGTCAGTTTGTTGTAAGCCTTTGGATTTATTTCTTCTCTCCCGCTATGTCTTGTGCACCAAAATCATGCAGGGGAAACCTGGTACTAATAAATCCCATTTTCAGCAAAGTAAAACTGATATATTGGTTTTTCTTTTGCGAAACACTTTTCCTTTCACTGACACAACTTGGTTTTTGGAGGAATCCTCATACTCTACAGCTCTTTCTAAAGCTGCATTTCATTTTTTCCAGGATGAGTAGTTTTGCTCTAGTGCTTCAGCAAGGTACTGTAGCACTTGATAACTTCGAACAGATTGTAATAACAGAGAATAGCAACTTCAGTTTGTCCTCTGTGTGTATGTGTATTTATTGTACATACTCACATGCAACTAGAAGGCAGAAATGGAAACACTTGTGTTCTTGTTTAATAGGTCTTGATTAATGCTTGTGTGAGATTTGCTCACCAGAAGGTTATTGCAGTATCATGGTTTTCTTTTTTTTTTTTTTTTTTTTTTTTTTGAATATCCTTTTACATTAAAGAGTCCATCTTTCCTAAATAACCCATGCTTTTGAGATGGCCTGGATAGTAAGTTTGTGAAACAATCAGCTTTGTTCTTGGAAACCAAATAATTTGGATTGCCTTTCACAGAAGCAAACGTCTGTAGGTAGTTAAGTAATTTCATAAATTGCAGCTTGCAGGTGGCAGCTTACAGAATGGGAATATGTATTCAGATGATTTTGTATGGTCTAACTTCTAGACAATCAGAAGGGATAATGATGATGCTTTTTCTTCTATTGTTTTTCTTTGCTTGCCTTTTATAAAGATACTGGTGTACACAGCACTCATTTAGACGTTTCAGTGGTTTAGGTGCCCTCTTCCCATATGTGTAAGGAAATGTAATTAGTTGCTTTTATTTTATGAAAAGCTTCAGATGCTGTAAATTTGCTTGCATCACCCCTTCTTCTTCCTCTTTCACCCTTCTCTCTTCCCATTTTGTGTTGATAAATCCGTAATCATTCTTATCTGGCTAGACCAGTGTCTTTGATGCTGATAGAGTAGCAACAATGAAGAAATATTATAAAAACTTGCATGTAAATACATGAAACTAATTTATATTGCTTGCTAGTGCTCATGGAACATCCCATCTCTTTGACTGACAGCATCAGTGCAGATTTTCTCTGGAATCGTGTCAATCCATAGAATCTTATGTTCTTTGAAAACTTGGGAGGGGGAAGAAACACAACCAAATCCCAAACAAAACAAAAATAGGCCTTTCGTTAAATTATTATTAGAAGTATAAAGAAATTCTATTTTAAATGTTTTGTCTACTATGTGCAACGTAATCACTGGCTTCATTATTTGAAGTGGTTATTATTAGTCATGGTTTTGTCATACATTGTCATAGAATTGTAAGTTTCTTGTAGCTCATTTAAACTGACCCAGAGTCCAGTGAGGTGGCTGGACTGACTTTGGGGTCAGTCTGTAAAATCAAACTGTAAAAGAGTAAGATAACAAGAGGTGTTGCCTTTCTGTCTCAGATAGATTTGTCTGTGAAAGAAAAAGAGTTAACTCCTCAGTTTTTACCATCCTTTGCATTTTAAGGACATATAATTGCAACTGTTTGGAAGTTGTTTATGCTTGAAAGGGTAGTACTGAAGAAAGAATTGCTTCTATGTTTAAAATGTGGTATTATATCAATTATATATATTCATACAGTGTATTTTAACACTGCAGTATTTACATTCATTTTTCTAATGGTTTGTTGGCACATATTCCTGTGGTTCAGCTGCTGCACAATGAAAATAAAGGATTGAGTTTTACTTTCTGGTGTTATAAGCAAGTGTTGTCATCAAAATTTTAATGGAAATAATGGAACACTTGACAAAAATAATTAGTAATTGAAGCTGCTTCCATTACATTTTCAGATTACATTTCCAGGTTTTGAGTGGATCCAAAAATGTTTTAGTCCTGTTCTCAAAAAAAATAGATTGACGATAATAAAGAGCTTTAAAGTCTTTCTGAAATTTCTTTCCTTTTCTTATCCTCAGTTCTCGGACATCTGGGCAAAAGTAGGAGAGGACTAGCAATTGACATGATCTGCTTATGCCAAAGGACATGATTTTAATGCACGAAGTGTATTAACAAACTTCAGAATACACAGTACATTAAATAATGAAGTGACAAATAGAAAATTACGGGTTGGATTTAAGATGGAGCCTTGCTGGCTTGCCTGTGGTTTTTTTCTGCTTTGTTTGTGAGAAATTGCGCAGTTAATCACCTAGGCCTTTTGGTTACTGTGGTCCCTACACAGCTTGAACTTTTACCATCTAATAAGTTTCTTCTTTTGTTATATTTTCTCTGTGCTCTATGGCAAGGCAGCGGTCCACCTGAGGTATGCTTGCATTGTATCAGAAAATGCAAAGGGATTAGAGGAAATTCTGGATTTAGCAAAGGTACCTCTAGCTCTAGAGATTGATCTGTATTTTAGGGAGTTACGCTGAAAGAAGTATGTCCGAATTAATAATGATGTTTGCGTGTGAAAAGTTAATGTTCTGTTATGGTAGCATTTGATAGCTCCTAGAGAGAGGTCATCCTTCTTTGTGCCTGTGTACTTTGCACACAACAAAAAGATATCCTTGCCACAGAGAGTTTATGCTTTCTACCTGTGTTGTACAACTGACCTGGTCATGAGCTGCATGTGTACGTAGAATTTTTCTGTGGGTGGTCCATTCCTGGGCACACCTTTTTCAGAAACCTCTTGGGATTGAATTGCAGGTGGATGAATTAACCTTGGAGATGTCCACTTGTGCACAGGCACTGTATTTTCTACCTACACTGTGGTCCCTTTGTTGATATGTTGTAGGCCAGCTAAATTTACCATGTTCTTCTTCTGCCACCCTCTTCCCAGTAAATCCTTAGAAGAGGATATTTATTTCCAGGCTGAGAGATGGGGTTGCTTAGCCTGAACAGTCTTGGCCCCAGTTTACTCCTGAAGACTGCTTTATTTGTAGCAAATATATGTGCATAACAGATTTGCTAATAAGGTAGTAGAGTGTTGCTAAGATAAATTTATACAACCTGTGTGAGTGAAAAGCTTGATTACTGGGTGAAGTCTCTTGAAGCTTTTTTTGTAGTGTCTTCAGGGGTCTACTAGTCTGTTTTTTGAATGGTTCTTCAGTAGTTTAAAAATAGTCTGTACAGTTCTTATTAAAATGTATTAGCTGGAAAAAATCTTCCTGATATATTTAATGTAAAGGATATCAAGTAATTTTAAGGTGTTTATTTGTTGAAAAAGAAGTGGACACTGCGGTTCTGCAATCACAGGGGATAAGAATAATGGTGTAGAGGGAGATTTTAGCATTCATTACAGGTATTGGTTGTTGAATAAATTACATGTCTGCATGCTGAAGTTGCATTGTGTGTCAGGGTAGCTGCAACAAAAGTAATTTTCAGCTGTTGTCCTCAAAAATAAAGATGGATTGATATGGGAGATGGTCAAAGAGAGTTGGTTGATTTTCAACGTTCATCTCCTGCAAGCTCGAGAATGGTCCATCCCCACATGCAGGAAGGCAAGTAAAGATGGCAGAAGGCCCACATGCATGAACAAAAAGCTCCTGGCAAAACTCAGTCATAAAAAGGAAGCACTCCAGAGGTGGAAATACAGAGACACTGTCTAAGAGTGCAGGTATGTCATTACGAAAGCCAGAGCCCACTTGGAGCTGAATCTAGTGAGGAATTCTACTTGTGAAAGGCAAGATAATGGGCTTCTACAGGTGTATTAGCAAAAGGGAGACTAGGGAAAATGTGGGCCTGCTTCTCAGTGGGGGAGGGACTTGGTTAAAAGAAGGACAGAGAAGTGGGTGAGGAACTCGAAACCTTCTTTGCCTTGATCCGTACTATGAAGACCCACCTTCAGCAATCCCAGGCCCCTGAAACTCATGGGAAGGTTTGGGGCAAGAAAGAGTTACTGTCACTGGAGGAGGACCAGTTTAGGGAATGTTTAAACAAACAGGACATACAGAAGTCCACAGGACTTGATGGGAGGCACACACAAGTGCTGTTAGAGTTTGATGATCTCAGTGCAGGCTACTTTTGATAATCTTTGAAAGGTCATGGTGACTGGGGGAGATTGCTCAAGACTAGAAGAAAGAAAATATCAGCCCTATCTTCAAGGAGGGCAAGGAAGAGAATCTGGGGAAACTGTAAGTGGGCTGGTGTTATCCCAGTCCCTAGAAAGGTGGTGTAGCAAATAATCCTGGATGTCATTGCCAAATAAGAAAGGACAAGAGGGTGATTGGGAAAAGTCACTGTATTTTTATGAGTGGGCAGTCATGCTTAACCATCCTAAAAGACTTCTGTGATGACTGCCTTCATGAATGTGGGGAAAGCAGTGCATATTGTTATCCCAAGTTTAGCAGGGAGTTTGAATTCAGTGCTGTCTCCTATAATGTCACATACAGTCTGATGAAGTGTGGACTGTATATATGGACAGTGAGGTGGATAGAAAGCTGTCTGACTTGCTGGGCTCGTGAACTCTGATCAGTAGCATGGTGGTTCCACCTCTTCATAATGACATTGACAATGGGATAAAGTGCACCCTCAGTGAATTTGCAGAATATACAAAATGAGCAGGAGGGATTGATGCACGAGCTGGTTGAGCTGCTATTCAGAGGGACCTCAGCGGCCTGGAGAAGTGGGCAAACAGGAAGCTCAAGAAACTGAGTTCAGTGCAGGGAAATACCAAGTCCTGCCTCTGACAAGGAGGCACCCCATGCACCATTGCACACTGGGGGTACGTTGGCTGGAAAACAGCTTTGAAGAGAAGGACATGAGAGTCCTGGTTTGCACAAAACTGATCATGAACTAGCAGTGTGCTACTGTGGCAAAGATGGCCAGCAGCACCCTGGGCTACACTAGAGAAAGCGTTGGCAGCAGGGCAAGGAAGGTGATCCTTCCTGTCTGCTCAGCACTGGTGAGATGCATCTGGGGTGCTGTGTCCAGGTCTGGGCTCTCCAGTACAAGAGAGAGATGGATGCACTGGGGTGAGTCCAGCAAAGGATCATGAAGAGTATTAATTGATTGAAACACCTGACAGATGAGGAGAGGCTGAAGGAGGTGGGGCTGTTTAGACTGGAGAAAAGAAGTTCAGGGAGGATCGTACCAACACTTGTAAATACCTGATGGGGAACAGACTGGCGCTTAACAGGACATGAGGTAGTTTGCACAAACTGAAATACAGGAAATTCCATTTGAACATAAATGCTTTTTTGTTTGTTTTTCTTTTTTTTTCTTTTTTTTTTTTTTTTTTTTTTTTTTTTTTTTTTTTTTTTTTTTTTTTTTACTCCAAATGTGATTGAGCACTTGAAGAGTTTGCTCAGAGACCTTATGGAGTCTCTGTCCTAGGAAACACTCAAAACCTGACTAGACAAGGTCATGAGGATCTAGCTTTGGGGGGTTGAACTAGATGACCGTTAGGGATTTTCAGCCTCAACAATTCTGTGTACTTCATACCAAGATGAACTAGGTTGTGTAAGTATTTCCCTGATGAGCTTTATCTGTGCTCTCAAAGTGGGAAATAGGTTGGTTGGTTTTTTTTTTTTCCCAGGTGATCTGATTATTGTTTGATTTGTTTCATGTGCATTAATATTTTATAAAGCTTAGAAGCAGCATGGCATGGGTTATTGAATCTGCTACAGTGACAGACACATCATCTCTTGTCAATCACAGTTGTTTCAGGCTTCAGATGTCATTCCTTAGGTGCATATTAAAAACTGGAAGTGATGAAATTTATGCTTGTAGTCAGTTTTGTGAATAAGCCGAATTTATGAGGTGATACTTTTTCAGGTTAATACTACATAATTAATACATTTCCCAGAATGAGTGTGGTTTTTGTTGCTCTTGTAATTAGGATTGTATAAATTAGAAGGTGTGGATCTGGTTTGTTCAGGGGAAAGGATTCCTTGTCTGAATTTGTAAGTACTGTTATGTTGGGAGAGAAGGAGGAAAATGATCAGAACATGCTGTCAGCAAGGGATATAATAGGCAGATTGAGGCATTTTCAGTGTACTTTCATACTGGAAGTGTAAAACATTTACTTGAGGACAACTTTGGGGTACACTCATACTCTGTTTTATTCTTCCTGGCTAAAGGCCGTATGGAAATGTGTCTATGATCAGCATGAGTCTACTGTGTTAGAATGATTTTTGGGATGTCTGAATGTAGTGCTGTGATTTGAGATTCAAGTTAATCATGACCAGAGATGTCATTGTGAACTTCAACTCCTAGACACTTGATGAAATTTGATCTCCACTAAAGGAGCATAGGGATGTAGGTAATGGGAGATGAAGCACCACAGACTTTGGACAATGTGGTCTTGCTTTGCTATATTCTAGGTTTCTTGTGTGTCAAAGGAATGACAGCAGTTAGCAATTCACTTTGAAATCAATTTCAAGCAATAAGTAATTTAAATTTGCTTTAAACAATCCACTTGGATCTACTTTCCATCCCAGTTTTTAAGAAAACCTTCGATCTGACCATGATGAATAGTACCTTGAATCCCTTCCAAATTATAACAATTTTCTTTCATTTGCATCTCTTTAGTACATTTGAGAAAAAAAATTCTTACAAAGAGTCTTAGCAGGGCTTTCTTATGTTAAATGGTACTACTTTTACAAATGAGCAAGCTGAGACAAATTGATTAAGTGACTACCTCAACAAGAAAAAAAACCCCTAGCACCCGAATCCTTTTTACGATTCTTTTTCTAATACAAACTAGAAGTGTATGCATAGGGCGGTGTCACTATAAAGGGTTTAAGATAATGTCAGGTCTGTGCAGATTACCTCTGTGGGTTCTCTATTCTTTATGTAAACATTTATTTGGGCCTCATACATTAACAAGTTTGACTGTTGTTCAGAGATGGTGTTCAAAGCCTATGATGGCCATCTTCATGTTTGATAGAAATTTCTGTCAGCTGCTGACAGTTTCTGTGGCTGCACGTGAAGCTTTGGTAATCCAAACTTTACCTAAAGACAGAGTGGACTGCTGGTCTCCCATGTGGTAGCACATTATGCTTTTACCAAGTGAACTACTGGATTGAACAGATTTTTTTTCTAAAGGGATTTATTTGCCTTGAAGGCAAGATGAATTGGCTTCACATCAAAAAGTGATTTTTTTTCAGCAATAGTATGGGAATTCTCAGGCAGCAAATGTATAAGTTCCATGACAACAGACTGTCTCATGTTCACAAAGATTATTACTAATATGGTATCATTCAATGTGAAAAATATACCTAAATGTTGGCATGGGTTTTGTTGTTTTTTTGGTTTTTTTTCCTGCAGAACTTTGTCAGTTGTGAAAGAGAGCTCCTATAATATGAAAAAGGTCTGCTTTTTCTTTCAGCTTTTGCTGTAAGTGTAGTTCCTGAAGGTGCAGAAGATGAGACTGAACTGTCAGTGTTGCAGGTAATAAATTTTAATTGCTAGAGCAGACATTATAAAATAAGCTAGAAGAGACCAGAACAGAAAGCCTAATATCTGTGACATTGATTATTTGGGTCACTGACATTAGTGGTACTTGTATCATGTCTTTCTGTTCAGTGTGGCATGTAAGAGATAAGTTGTTGGTGGTGTTCCTTTTGAGAAAAGTTTTTGAGCATATAATCTTTATTGTTTCAGAGACAGGTTTTCCTTTCTTTTTGGTTTTGTTATATATGCAATACCTTGAGAGGGAAATGGCTGCCTCTCTGCTAAATTAGCATTATTACATATTACTACTCAAGTCACGGCTCAAGTAAAGCCTGCATATGAAATTTCAAATTAACAGATTAGAAGAACTGATGGTCAGAGCTATCCCGAGCTTTAAATAGCATAATGGGTGTTAGATATGTATGCATGTATGTCCTTTAACAGACCTCTCTCTACCATTTTGTTGTTGTCTATATTTGTAACAGATATTTGTGTGTGTGTAAAAGAAATTTAAGGGAAGAAAATAAAAGTACTGGAATGAATGGAGTTAGAATCTATAACTGCCATTTAGATCAGCGATCTCACATCAAATGCAATAGAAGTATAGTCAGAGGTATGCGTTTCTAAATAATTTGTGGTTTTGATGATGGTTGCTATATCTACAGTAATTTTCATAAATTAAAGAGATCTCTATTGCAAATTGCTGATCTGCTGCAGTATATCTATAAGACTTGGTATCTCATTCTGTTGTCATTACTTATAAATTGCTCTTTCTTAAATTCCATTACTATCTCAATCCAGCTGTTTATGCTATCATTCTTATATAGGATATAATTTATGAAGGCTTTTCTACTATTTTAGAGGTTCAAAACCTTCCCTGAAGTCAGAGGTGCCTCCTAGAATTTTTCAGGCCAAAATATCTTTTTTTTCCGTCTTTTTTTTTTAATAGTAACATTAACAGGAATGTAACAGGCAATAATTGTTTTGTGTTGTCTTTTAATAAAAGTAATTATAAAATATGGCTTGCTTTTCCACTGTGTACCACAGGGCACACAGTTTTTTGTTTGCACAGAAAATTAATCTGTGTTGTTTCTGATATAGGTTAGTTTAGAATTTAACTTACTGTGTGATATAATAACAGTGCTGTATAGAGTCACCAAAATAACTTAGTCTTATAAGAAATTTTTTAAAATTTATTGACCCAGTCAGCAAAAAAGGATAATAAAAATGGATGCAATGCAGTCATTCTTAAAAAGGTTTTACAGATGGCTACCAAGGAAGTTAGAGCTTATGCATTTCAGTGCAAAAGTCAAACCTGTACAAAGGAGAGATCATCTGATGCAAGTAGAGCTAAAAGAATTACATAGATCTGATATTAAAAGAAAGGGAGGGGGCTAAGTATCTATAAATAGAAATTGTCTTGTATGGCATTTCTATCTGAAAGTCCTAAAGCACTTGAACCAAGGTAAATCCTACAACATTCTTATGCAATTAGTAAAGATGATTTTTATTTTATATTTGGAGATATCAAAGCACTGGAGTGCTATCACCAGGGAGAAGTTGTGCATTAAATGAAGGCTCTGTTTTCCTTCCTACAATTTTTGTAGGAATTGCAGAGCTCTTTCTCCAGTCCTGTCTCTCTTAAGCAACACAGTTCCACCCAACCTCTGTTATTTAGAAGCAATGGAATATGTTCCTAAGATATTTTTATGTGTGTGTCTTGGTTTCCTGGTTAACAATGCAAATGCAGTGTCACTGTTGTCTCTTCCTCAGCACTCTGGTAAAATTCCAACTGTCACAAACTTATGTGATACCTGAGTAAATTTCAGTGAAGTCATTTTAGGTACAGCAACCTTTTTATTTATTTGTCTTGATATAAATTGCTTCTGAGTCTTCCTTTAAGAACTGTGTTTCCATAGAAGCTTGATAGTGGATGAAATGAATGAGTGTTTTGGGTTTTTTTTTTAACATACTGAACAGGTGTGTTTGCATTGTAGAGTTCCATTTTCCAAACCTAGTGCTCAGGAGATACATAATAAATAAAAAAAATAGTTATTGTTAGTGTTAATTTAAAGAGCTCTGGTATAAACTGAGTTATGCAAAAACTTTTTTTTATTCTCTTACTATATTTTCTGAGTAATAATATGCAAGCACGTAGGATATCTGTTGCAGTTCTTGATGCTGAAAAACTTTTTATTTTTCTTATTAGGTTTTGAGTTAAAACCTCTATGTTTACATTTATAATCTGATGAATGCTTTGACTCCCAGTGTTTTTTCTATAGAAATATTTGAGGGTTTATATGTATTCTTACTTGGGTTTTTTTCTTCCTTTCTTCTAGAAACCTGAAGAAAGTAGAACAATCAGTAAAATAAGCAGAGGTAAGTACTGTATAGTCTGTATTTGTTTTCACTCGTGACTGCCTTTTTAGTATAAACAAAATACAGTTATGCTTTGTAAAGTGACTCTGTGAACAGTGCCTAAATGCTCAACAGCATTATTAGTTCATTGCTGATTCATAAATACCTTTTTTTTTTCCTTTGGCTCATGTAGTCTCATCAAAGAGAAACTTCTGAATCTTTGACTGCACTTGCAGTTCTTATAGTTAAGTCTTTTCTGAACATGTGTACTTCCACTATGAAACTCATGAATTACTTTTTGTAGTACACTGTATTTTAAAATAAAATTTTATGATACCTAGTAGCTGTTCTTGTAACAATTTAATATGAAACTCGGTTTTACCATTCTGCTAGGCTCTCATGGAACTTGTAATAACTAGAGTTATCATAAATTTCTTGTAACAAATCATAATAACTTTGTAATATCTAGAAGTAAGTATTTAAGAAGCATGTTAAACGTTATAAGGTAAAATAGTGGTAAAATAATTTTTTTGCTGATGGAGATGTGTGATAAATAATGAGAATAAAAATTCTGCAGGGTTCTGCCTCTTCTGAAGACAAGTGTGGTGTCCTTCTGGCAAATAGTTAACAAACCTGAGATAAGGACTTGCATTCTCTGCACTGTAACCCTGGACTTCTCATTCTGCTAAACCCTCAGGACTTGGCTGTTCTTGTTCTGAAGGGAACCAGCTTAATTATGTCTCTCTTATAGTAGTTTCTGAGTAGTTGTGAGTTCATTCTGACATTAAAGCTGAATACCAGGAAGATTTAGTTCTTTTGAGATAGATATTAATCTTTGAAAAGACTCCATTCTTTGTTTTGATTGGTAGACTGTTTCTCAACTTGAGAAACAGTTTAAGTGTTTACAACTATTTTCTGTTGACATTTTAATAGACTGAATATGTCTTTTTATCAACTATTTTAAACTCCCTATAACAGAGGAAACTATTTCCATTGGATTAAAGCAGTAATATCAAAGTAGGTGTTAGCTTACTCCTAGAAAGTATTCTGTTGTGGATTATCACAGTTGTTGTTAAATGTACTGTAGATGAAACTGAGCATAATTCAGATACTTCCATATCTGTAAACATACTGATACTAAAACAGTAATTACATAAAGAAATGTGGTGTTTGCTTTTTATCTCTGGGGATGTTTTTGGTGTTGTGCATGTAGATTTAGCCCTTTGACTGTCATTAGCATCAATGAAGTGTAGTTTCGATTTTTGCAGTGATTTTAATTTTTGCACAGGAAATCTAGCAAAGATCTTACTAGACAGCAAATAATTGCCATTCAGAAGGTTTTATTATGCATGGGTTTTTTAAGCAGTTTGTTTGGTGGTGCAGAGCATGAACACTGTTCGTTCCTACACTGTGTAGGAAAAATGTGAAATTAAAACTGATATCTAAACCAGTGCTTATGCCATCTCTGCAATATATCACCAGAAACCTCAGACAATTTGACAATGTTAGAGTCTATCTTGGTGAGTAAACTAATAAATTAAGGGAAAATAACAATAAGGGAAAAGTAGAAAAACATTTAACTACAGGTTTGAGCTGTCATAGGTTTAAATTATCAAGTAACTGTTCAGAGGAGCAAAGCAATGTAATTGATCCTCAGGTCTTGGACACTGCAGTTTTCTCATAATCTTAGTTAAGATGTTTGTGGTAGTGCACTGGTTTTTATTGTGATCCTTCTTCATGTGTTCAGTTTTATTCTTTTTCCTTGTGACTATTTCTTTCCTTATTTTGATGTTTTTTTCTTCACCTTTGTTCTTCTCTTCTGCATTCATCCTACTCTATTTACCAAGTTAGCATATAATTTTTTTTTGGTGTGAACTTTGTTCCTTCTCCACGTTTTTTGACATTCTGTACAGATCCCATGGGATATTAATTTCTTTCCTTTTGGTACTGTCTCAAGTTGTTATGTTCTGAGTTACCTCTTGTGAATACTTTCTACATAGTATCTGTAAAGTTCAACTTTTTCTGGCCAAACAAACAGTAACTGCAGTATCATGTGATTCTCATCTTAGGCATTGATTGATACTTAGTTATGGTCTTGAGAGAGTTATACAGCATAGATCAAACTTGTTAAGAATTCTGGAAAGGGCCTCTGTCCACTTTCCTTCATCTTCTCATCCTTTGTTGTCCTCTGCTGTCTTCTGCTTCTGAATGGGATCATATCTACCTGCTTCTCTTAGTTTTCTAAGTGTTGAGGGACTGTTTTATCTACTGTCATCAAGAAAATTTGGCTACCTACTTTGTCACCTACTTGCATTTTTTAATAAGCACTTTTTTAAAATTCCATAAATGTTTGCAAATCTACTTCATTATTTTCTTTTAAATATATCAATAAATTTATCACACTTCTCTCGTTTATAGTTCTTAACTACGACACCTTTAAACACTGTGAAAACATATGTGAGATATTAGTGCTGTCCTATTAGATAAGGGTATTACCTCACTGTTCTCATATGTGTGCCTCTCCATCTGATGTTTGTGTCCGGGTAGGGGTTTAAGTTCTTTTTTGGAGAAGCATCTTTTCTGTTTCATGTTTGTGCATTGCCTGGTGAGGGGAGATGCTGGTCTGTGACTAACAGCATTTAACTATAGTAATAAGGAGTACCGGTGTATTGGAGAAAAAGCAACTTCGTGAGTGTGGCTACTGTTCATTGTGGGCATGTAAGATCTGCTGCACATCTTGTACTCATGCCGTGCTTTTTATAAGTTAATCCTTAAAAGGACAGTTTTGGAATTTTGTGTGTGTTTAATTATGCCTTTTTACTATTTCATGAAATGTTTTTATAGCTGAAGTAGCTTGCTGTGTACTAGATTCCCCCACACATCTGTGTTTTCACTAGCTTTGGAGCAAAACAGAAAATAACTTCTTTTGTCTTTAAATCTTCTTATTTTCTCGTTTACAGAATTAAAAGAAATTGTATTTGTCATCCAGAGTCAAAGTAATTCTTTTCATTCCAAGAGAGCAGAAGATTTAAAAAGAGATATTTTAAAACAGGCTGCAGATCTTGGAAAGGTATGTTGAGATAATATAAAGTACACCTTGTATTGCTGTTACTGCATTTTACCAAAAATACTGGGGTTTGTTGTGCCTTTTTTGAAATCCATTTTATTCCTTTTGTTAATTGTCTTCTGTGTGCTTACAAGAAAACTATTTCAGTGGGTATGTACTGATTATAGGCTGTGATTTATCCCTAAATATTTTTAATTTCAACTATCAACCTTTTTGTGTAACAGCTGGTTTTGTTTGGAGGGCATTTGATGCAAAAGTGATAAAAAAGACTTTAAAGAATACAGTTTTCTAATACCACTGTAGAGCATTTAAAAAATTTACAAAAAAAGGATGCATTCTTTGTGAAGTGAAAAACATAATTTAAGTATTAGTTAGAATAATTTTAGGTGAATATTTTATTGGAGCCAATGAAGGTGCTGTAATGTAGATTTTGTCAGTATTTCATTGCACAGTTGTGACATTGTGGCAGTAAATGAAAAATGTGTGTGGACATTAAAATCCTAACACAGGATTCCCTATTTCCTACAGCACTACTCTTGCAGACCTCTCTTGCCCATGTCCCTCCATCATGCAGTACCTTCCCTAACTCTTCCTTGTTCCTCTTCCACTCCACTGCAGACTGACCATGCTGTTCTTCACCTGTTGGCCTGGGAGCTGCATGTTGTACTTAACACTCTAATTTGAAATTTTATTTGTAAAGCTTTAGCCTAGAGAGAAGAGGTTTTTAAGAAACTTACACTGAAAGTTCAATGTACTTAAACAATGCTTTATTTTCTTTGTTTGTAATAAAAATAAAAAAAAATTACCGTTTGCATACATCCCCTGATGTGAAATAGCTTGCTGTGAGATTGTTTGACCTATTTTTCATTTCCACATTCTTTGTTGTAAAGGAAAAAGAAGTAAGATTTAAATTGTCTTATGTATCTTAGTCTTGGAGTGCCTAAATCATATTGCTGGATGTTTTAGGCTTCATTTATCCAACCTTATCAAACCTGTTGTAATTAAATCCATTCTGAATGCAGTTTTTAATCCCTTAATGAAATCAGTCATGTGAACAGCCTTTGTTCTGCAGAGTTCTGCTGTTTTGGGGTCCTCTTTGGAATTGAGACAAGTGTTCAGATACAATGTATGCTGAGGCGATTATGGTGTCAGTTGTTAAAACCAAGGATTTTAGTTGTGTGCTGTAATTGATGTTGCAGAATAGTAATGAAGAGGTCAATAAGTGGAAGTACAGATAGTTTCAGTGAGGCAGGAATATAGGCATGTTTTATGGGAGAGAGATAAAATCTATTTGTGATCAGAGTTGTACCTGAAACTGACCTGGCTTTTTAAAAAATTTATTGCCTAATTAAGGAGATTGCTTTATGGGAATGCTGAAATGGGATGCTTTTTCAATATTAACAGGTAAGTGTTAAAATGCAGTCATAGTGTTTTGAGAGAAGCAGTGGTGGAAATATATCACACCAAAAATCTCATGTCTGAAATCTGGGAAAAGGGGAAAGCCACCAGTGTATAGGAAAAAAAAAAGGAGCATAGCGAGCAGGTACTTGGTATGTGTTGACTGTTTTGGTCAACTCATAATGTCGCTGTGAGGCATGACCTAATAATACTAATTATGGAGAAGGGCCAGATGATCTCTGCAATCCTGCATTTGCATTTACCACAAATGAATGGGCATACATTCTTCTTCTTGACCTGCAACAAGCTCTATAGCTAAAATTTCCCAATGGTTCTTGGAGTAGGTCTGAACCATTACCTGACTGTAAAATTCACACGCAAGTTAATAATGTTGTTGTTATAAAATTTGGTGGGAAAATAGCTGTTTCACGACAACTGAGTTGTTTTTAAACTGATCTGTATATTTAGATAAAACATCCATAGACGTAATTTGCTTGAGACATTTCAAAATTAATGCCATAAATGCAATGTAATCCATCATATACCTGTAGTTTCAACTTTCAGATTACTTGCTCAAATTCTAGATTCTAGGATGAAAACCTTGTTTCCTCCTTTCCCTCCTTTAATGACTTCCCACTGCACAGAAGCTGCTTTCCAACTGAGACTGATCAGATGATTCATTTTTGGATATTGCAGTTTTAACAAGGCTTAATGGATTATATTTAAGTGAAGCGTTGGGCTACATTCTGACCTGCCCATCCATCTCCATGTCTTCTATAGATTGTCTTTATGGCAAGATTTCCCACAATCTCTAGGTCAACTTTTTTTTTTTTAATTAAAACAAGTATGTTGTAACATCAAAAGCTTTAAATTATTTGATTTCTCAGTGTTATTTGATCAAGTCCCCCATTTTTTCTTCTTTTTTGTAAAATGTTAGTGTGCCCTCTGTTTCCTTCCTCGCATCAATTTTCCTTTCTTCTGCAAGAATTTATTAATGTAAATAAATCCTGTAGCCTCATGGAATGTGCTTATTAGCTCAGTTCTTAAGTGCTTATTCCTTAAGATGTAAGAGTTTATCTTGTCTGACAGTGGACTGTTTTTGTTGTCAAGGTTCTTTGGCATACCTTCTTCTTTAGCTTTCCGTTATTTTTCCCTCTCGTACAGAGATAAGATGCCAGTCAATACCAGAGCTGTTGGGGAAGATACTGTCATGTCATCTGTGCTGTTAGTCTTGTACCCCACTCTTCTTGGCTCGGGTCCTCCTAGTCTTTGACTGATCAGCAAGACTCTTTCCACAGCAAAGTCATGAGTCTGATACGTGACCAGCAATTGAATGTGTGAAGGTGTCTTGCTGAGATGACAAGAAGGCCTACACTTCTCTGTGGTGAGGACAGAGATGCTGATGGAGCATCTGGCACCTCTTTCTCAAAGAAGTGAAGTCCCTGCAGAGATCCCTCATGGGAGGACTCATGCAATTAGAGTAATTAGGGAACATGGAACTATGGTGAAAGAGAGGGAGGAAGAAGTTCCAGCTGTTCTCAGTGGCCTCCTGAAACCACACAAATCTTTGTCCAGAAGTTTTGGGTACCTCTTATGTGTTGCTCTTGTAATGCTTTTTTTTCTGTCTGTATTGCTTAAGTCAGATTATACTACCAGTAACTACTAAAATCCATGTATCATCTTTGGTTTATGAATAGAAAAGTCTGGAAACAAGATTTTTTTTGTCATTTTCTTTCTTCTGTCCCATCATCCTCCCCCTTAAAACAGTATTTCGCATTTAAACAATGAACACCTAAATATTGCTGTACTAGTTGAATTTTTTTCCTAAACTTGCATATCTGTACCTTGGGTAATTTAGATTTCTTGTTCAAAATAGAGAACAAATTGGTGGACTAATTTAGCATTTCAGATGGCCTCATTTTCAGATTACTCTATAAAGTTTAGTGGGAACTTCATTTTAACCAATCTTTCTTCTCCCTTTGCTTTGCTTTTGTTTTGCCTGACTTGTGTTTGTAACATCATCCAAAACTTTTATATTTACATTTATTTTTCAAATCTGTCAATAAAACTTCACTTATATTATGTGGACAGAGCTTGCAGTATAAACCCTAATAAGGATTGCATTTAAGTGGTCAGTCTGTGAAGTTCCTGTTTCCACTTTTTTATCCGTATTAACATCTGTGTTTGTTTTATCTTGTGTTACTTATTCTGCTCTACATACATTGTCTAATATCAGCATGTTCTAGTCATTTTCTTTCCTGTTGAGTCCCTAGTTCGTCTCCAAAATGCTTAATGCAACTGCTCATTCTGGAGCCTCAATATTTGGGTGCTCAAGTTCTGAAATACATCTAAACTCAATTTTGTTGAAGGGTGAGGTGCCTTCAAAATACAACCTTTTGAAAGTACTCCAGGAAAAGTGCACAGAGCTACTGTTCAGTTCTGCAAACTTATTTCACAATTGTCTTGAATGTCTTCAAGGGCTTGAATTGTCTTGCAAGGCATTACAGATTTGACTGACTTTTGTTTTATCTTTGCTTTCCTCCAGCTGTTCTCTCAGCTTTTTGTTTTAATTGTTTGAACTCTGACTTTCTGATATGCCATTGCTTCTCATTCTGCAAAGGTATCGGCGTCCTTTTGACAGTTGACAGGTTTTATTATCAGCAAAATTGATGTCTAGCTCATTAACTATTGAAAGTGTAAAAGTTACCTACACTGTAGTGCTGGAAGGTGAACAGGATCATTTTCCTGTGATAGATACCCAGCAGATTTGAAGGAATTGGTAGAAGTCAGATAATTCTGCACTAATGAGATCTTTTAAATGTTTTAGTAGGGATAAATGGGCTCCTCTCAGCCCTGCCTTACACATCATATACCACAAATATGTGGTAATTGCCTTGAATTTTTATGCAGAAGACAGGACCTGTCACCTCACAGAGATGATTTGTCATGTCAGGGCAAAATATATACAAGAAATTTGGAAGTTTAAAGTGCTTTAGGCTATGTGCTTCTCTCAGCCTCTTCTACACCAGTTTCTGCATACCTAATAGGATTTGAATAAAACAGTTTTACTAAGGTATATCTTTATTAGTATAGAATAAGAAATTGCTATAAAGCTTCCTCCTCCACTGTGACTGCTGACTGCTGTATTAAAATTGCTCAGTCATCTTTGAACAGTGTTCAAGTATACATGAGAGTAGAATTACTAAATCATCAGATTTAAACCCTTAAAATCAGTACCTGTTGACAGTTTTAAGTTCTCCTGAGCATCTGTACAAGTCCTTAAAATACATTTACCAAATTTCTTGCCTTGTGGAAGCTGCTTCTGCTCTGCTGTTCCTTCCCTTGTTCCTTAGTTAAAAACCATATTTTAGGTCTTTGGTAAGACTGTTGGGGGGGAGGGACCTGCTGCCCCATGTATGACACTAAGTTAGCTATGGAGATGACTGCCTCAAACTTGCTGTCAGTGAAAGATGCTTCAGGCTTATTTGTCATTAAATATAAAAATCTACTTATATTGCCAATCCTGCTGATATTAAAAGAATCAACTGAACCTCATAAATTGCTTAATTTCATTGTTTGAATCATAGTGTCATTAAGGTTGGAAA